CCCACTATCACATCAAAATCGTACATGTCTAGAACCGCTAAATCAATCTTCTCCTCCCTATCCCCAATCACGATCTTACAGTTTGGACACCCCAGGCCATGTTTCTTGCCCGCGTTGAAGTACACGCCTTAGGCTCAACACCTACCACCTACTGCGCAACCCGCGTTGAAGTACACGCCTCAGGCTGGCAGTCTTCCGGTAATACCGGGCATCGTCCCGCGTTGAAGTATATGCCTCAGGACGGCACAATTTCCACGAACACATATCATACCACATTTCTTTCTTACTCATGCACATACTCAACAAGCATTTACCACACTTAATTGGCCAATCACACGTGGACTGTGCACGCCTCAGGTTCACACGCAAAACATGCTCACTAAGCATTTGACATGACCAATTTTAATAATTAGATCAGTCTGGCCCAAGCGTGCACCCAACAGGCATATTTCAATCATGTAATTACACAACCATGCACTCAATTTCATTTCCTCAACCCAGTCATAATTCCAACACACATTAGACACATAATTTGCCATTTTTCTCCAACCAGATGGCGTCAAATCGATTCCAGTCCTTCACGACACTTTCTCACCATTAATTGCCGGTTCTAAAAATCCAATTTATGTCCCGATCGGCCCATCACAGCCCACTGAACAGTCACCCACAGCCAACTCTCGTCCTCAAAGTCTCCATTAAAAATTCCCCAAATTCAATTCTAGGCCCGCCAATTGATTTTACTCCTAATCCGTACAATCCCGCACCCGAATAAACCCGATTTCAACCAAAATTACCCGTCGATACCCAATATCCTAAGTCAGGTTTAGGGCGCGACTTACCCGACCCTAGACTCACGCGGCTAGAGTGAAAAGCGGTGGCGATCGACGGCGATTTTGCGGCGGCTTGTGGCAGCGACAGTATACGGCTCCCGGCGGGCGGCGATCGGCTCACGGTGGGGGCGGCTTGGCTCATGGCCAAGGGGAAAGAAACCTAGAGGGAGAGAGAGAACGGCGGTGAGGTGGCGTGAGGGTGGGGCGGCGGATCGGCGGTGGCGCGGCAGTGGGCGGTGTAGCGGCGACGGCGGGAGGGAGAGAGAGAGATGGAGGGGAGGCTCACGGTGGGAGGGGGGTGACCGAATGGGGGAGAGAGAGAGAGGAGAGAGAATGGTCTAACTTAACTTCCAAGTTTTGACCAATTTTGCCAAATGACCAAAATACCCCTCTGTCACAATTTGATCCAACGGTCCATATTCGATCTAATCTTGAAATCGACGGCCCAGATCGAATCTCACCCGAAAATATCCAAGGGTAATCTTGTAATTTCTCAAAAAGTCTAAAGGCAAAATTGTCCTTTCCAAATTTGAGGGTAAAATGACCAAAATGCCCTTTGCCCATAAAACTAACCCTTTATTAATTCCCAAGGGTAAAATGGTCACTTTCTCTGTTTCTCGCCGAAATCGAACTTTTTGAAAAATCCGAAGAAATCTAGAGTTGTACGTTCCAATTACAACGTCGTCCAAAGGCCCTGCCGTGACTCTCCAAATTTTCTGATGCTCGATTTGGTCTCTAATCAATATTCAAATTATATATATATAACGTAACTGGAGCGTTTCTCAGACTAATGGGTGGCTTTTGGGAAATTCGCCTGTACGACCCGTGACTGATACTAAATCGAGTCACGTGCAATTTATTCAGACCGTAACGACTTCGGTTGCCAATAAAATCGCGAGGATCGATCACTAGTTCCTATGAGTACGATCGTTCGGAATAAGTTCGGGATCATTTGTCAATTCATTTCGGAATCAAATGGAATCGCCCGTGATCCACGTACATGATAATGACGAATCAGCCCATCCTTTCCTAAGAACGGCCTACACTGGCTCAAAATGTCACCTCGACGATTTTATGGTCGAAATTCAGTTCACGGTCGAATTCCTCTAGTCGTACGAACTTAAATCCTTCATTAGCCTTTCCCTATAGGTTAGTATCCAACGAATGATCAGTTCCGAGCGAGAACTAGCTACAAGTACATTAATAAAATAATTCATTTCATAAATCCCAAATGAGCGAAATTTCGGAATGTCACACATATGTTGAGAGACCAGTAAGGATTGAAGATCGGAAAGAACGGGTTCTAAGGAACAAGATGATCCCGATGGTCAAAGTTATTTGGGAACATCACGGGACAGAAGGTGCGACTTGGGAAAGTGAAGAGATAATGCAACGTCAATACCCCCATTTGTTTGAGTAGTGGTGGGATTTGTAAATTTCGAGGACGAAATTTGTGTAAAGGGGGAAGAATTGTGACATCCTGAAAATTGTCCATTTGAGATTTATGAAATGCTTGGTTTTATGAACATACTCGTAGTTAGTTCTCGCCCGGAACTGATCATTCCTGGGATACTAACCATTAGGGAAAGGCTAATTAGGGATTTAAATTCGTGCGACTAAAGAAAATTCGATCGTGAATTGATTTTCGACCATAAAATCGTTGAGGTGACATTTTGAGCCGCTGTAGGCCGATCCAAGGATAGCCAGGGGTCAGTTCGCCACTATCATAGTAGTGGATCGAGAGTGATTCCACTGGACCACGAAATGAATTGACGAATGATCCTAAACCTATACCAAACGATCTTGCCCCTCGGATCTAGCGATCGATCCTCACGATTAAGTGACAACCGAAGTCGTCATGGACCGAATGAACTTGCACGTGACTCGATTTATCATCAGTCACGGGTTGAATATGCGAATTTCCCCAAAAAGCCGCCCGTTAGTTCGAGAAACGCTCGAGTTACGTTTAATAAAATTTAATTATTTATTTGAGCCCAATTTGGACATCGAAAAATTAGGAAGTCACAACGGGGCGTTAAGACGACGTTGTAGTTGGAACGTACAGCTTTGGATTTTCCTGAATCCTTCAGAAAAATTTAATTTCGGCAAGAAATGACGAAAGCGACCGTTTTACCCCAGGAATTTGTTAAGGGCAATTTTTAAGAGGGAAGGGCATTTTGGTAATTTTGCCCTAATTTTTGAGTTGGACAATTTTGCCCTTGGAATTTTACGAAATTCCCAAATTGCCCTTGGATATTTTTAGAAAGATTCGATCCGGGCCGTCGATCTCAGGATAAGATCGAATCTGGACCGTCGATTGGGTTTGTGAGACAAGGGCAAGATGGTCATTTTGACCCCCAATAATTGACCTTGAATATTTAAAAGCCTAAATCTTTCTCTCTCTCCATCCTTCTCGGCTCACACTCTCTCTCTCTCTCCCCTCTCCTGTGGCCGTGACTCACGGCAAGGAGGCCGTCGCCATCCGCGCCACCGCCGAGCCGCGCCGCCGCTCGCCGCCGTCCCCGCTGATCTTCGCCGCTTTCCACTCTAGCCGCGTTAGTCTAGAGTTTAGTAAGTCGCACCCTAAACCTTATTTAGGACGTCGGGTATCGACTGATAAATTAGGGTGGATTCGGGTTTTAATAGACGCGGATTAGCACGGTTTTGGGGGCGGAATTGATTAGCGGGCCTTAGGAATGAATTTGGGAGATTTTGATGGAAAATTATAGGCCAAAGGCAGGCTGTGGGTGGCTGATATGAGTGCTGTGATGTTTTGTTCGGTACGTAAATTGGGTATTTGGATTCGGCGATTAATTATGAGAAAATGTCGTGAAGGGCCGGAATTGATTCGCCGCAGTTTGGAGGTGGAAAAATGAGAATTTGTATGTCGATTGTGCATTTGTGATGTGGCTGAATTGTGGTGATGAAATTGGGTGCACTAGTGTGCAATTGATTGATTGAAATATGCTTGATTATGTGCACGCATGGGCCGAATTGAATTGATTGTCAATTGGCTGTGTTTGAATGTCGATTGAGCATGAGAAATGCGTGGTTTGATGTGTGCACGGGCCAAGTGTGAATGGCCAATATGTTGAGCATGTGCAAGAGCGGGGAATTGATCCATCCTGAGGCGGTACGACTACGCGGGACGATGCCCGGTATTATCGGAAGACGGCCAACCTGAGGCGGTACCATTACGCGGGTTGTGTCGTAGGTGGTAGGTGTTGAGCCTGAGGCGGTACCATTACGCGGACAAGATACATGGCCTGAGGCGGTACCACTACGCGGACAAGATACATGGCCTGAGGCGGTACCATTACGCGGGCCTTTGAGTGTTGTGATGTTAGGTGGTAGGTGTTGAGCCTGAGGCGGTACCACTACGCGGGCAAGATACATGGCCTGAGGCTGTACCATTACGCGGGCCCTGGAGTGTTGTGATGAGTTGGTCGCAGTGAACCTGAGGCAGTACCATTACGCGGGTCACTGGCGAGTGGTGTGGAAAAGATGTGATGAGATCAGAATAAATGCATGAAACGAAATTAGAACATGCATGTGAGTGGAATGGTGTTATGATGGCTAACTTGCAGGTTCCACGCTGGAAAGGCCCAGGTAAGTATTGATTGTGTGCCTGCGATGTAATAGCTGAGTGTGGTTGTTTGTCGTGATTGTCTGGAGGTACGTGATAGCCTAGGTAGGGTTTAGGGGTGTACTTATTGAGATATAATCTCATGGTTGTTTCAACCAATATTTTTCAGAACCCCTGCCTGATCAATGAATCCTCCGCCGTCGCCACTACCTGAGCGTTTTGGAGTACCAATGCACACCGAACACAATGTGGTAGAGTTTCCTATAGATGACCATATGACCTGGATTAAGCACACCACCGTAGTATTTGTAGATGTAGGATTACCCTTATGGGAGGCCCATACATATATCGTTTGGTTCTTTAGGGACAGGATAGACGAGTTTGGACCCGTCCGCGGTTTTGACGTCCCCTTTGATGGAGTTGGGGACTGGGACCCGTCTGCTATACCTCCTCCGGATGGCGAGTTGACTAGCTTAGAGACTAGTCTAGCGCAGTCAGGACTTCATCCTGCGTCAGCAGCGCCAGAATCTTCGGGGGTCGAGCAGGAACCAGAGCCTGAAGGATCGCAAGCGGGGTACGATCCGATGGATATGGATCTTGAGCCGATCCCAGAGGAAGAACCAGAAGAGGAGGAACCCGAGGCGGAACCTGAGAATGATCCTGCTGTGCCTGAAGAAGAACCGGTGTACATTCCCCCGTATGAGCAGTGGATTGACCCCGATTTCGTGCCAGAGTACGGGTTTGATGAGGAGTCCGACTCAGAGGAGCAGATAGAAGTCCCAGCGGAGTCGGGTGACATCAATAACCCGATTGAGATCGGAGCCGAACCAGAGTCCTCGAAGGAGCAGACAGTTCAGGGAGATTTAGAGTCAGAGGACGAAGAATCAGACTCAGAGTGGACGCCTAGCAGAGGGCGTAGAGGTTAGGTTTAGGGGTTGATAAGAGACTTTTTGAGGAGTACCATTTTTGAGGATAGGATATCCAGGTCATTAATCCTTTCGATATCGGTGGTTTATAGTATGGTGTGCATATGTATATGGTGTTTGTAAATTGTGAATATTATATAAGTTTGAATGAGAAATGAATATGTGTATTCTCCTTGATTACCCCAGTTTTAATTGTCCGGGTATTTGTGGTTTCCGCTGATCGTTTTAAGTCTCTGATAATGATAAATGAGGTCAGCGATACCCTGGGATGTCGCATTAATCGACCAGGGAAGTGTGTCGCCCGCTCGATGGGGTTCGGGGCGTGACATGACTATTTCACTAAATGGATTGAAGCAAACTCCTACACGAATGTTACTGCCAAGAATGTTGCAAAATTCATCAGACGGGACATCATTGCTAGGTATGGACTTCCAGAAGCAATAATTACGGACAATGGCTCAAATCTAAACAACAATATTGTAGATGATTTTACTTGAACACTTCCATGTCTGACATCTGAACTCATCTCCATATTGTCCACAAATGAATGGAGCAGTTGAAGCAGCAAATAAGAATATCAAGAAGATACTGGCCAAGACAGCCGAAAATTATCGTGATTGGTACGAAAGGTTGCCGTATGCTCTGATGGCATACCGAACTTCAATTCGAACATCAACTGGAGCAACCCCATTTTTCTTTGTTTACGGAATGGAAGCAGTGCTACCCGTTGAAGTAGAAATTCCTTCATTAAGGATACTATCCCAATTGAAACTTTCAAAAGCTGAATGGATTCAACAAAGATATGAACAACTCAATATGATCGATGAAAAGAGACTAAGAGCTATATGCCATGGACAAGCCTATCAAAGACTAGTGGCTAAATCCTTTAATCAAAAGGTGAAATCGAGGAATTTCGAAACAGAGGATTTAGTAGTGAATAAAGTTATCTTCAACAATTCAGATCCTCATGGAAAATTCACTCAGAATTATGAGGGTCCATACATTGTCAAGAAGGTTCTTCCTGGAGGAGCATTGATTCTTGTAGATATGGCAGGAACAGAACTAGCTTATCCTATAAATACAGATGCTGTCAAGATTTTCTACCCATAAAATGAAGACGAACATTCAAGAAAAGATTCGGGTCACTTTAGAACATGTGCATATCATGCATATCATACATACCATGCATTTCATAAACATGTTTATCTGTTTTGCAGAAGAAAGCAAAAAGAATCCGAATCAGTTGATGATTTCAGAATTCCCAATGGAGTTATCAAATAGTAGAGGGAAGTATCACTTCCAATTCTATTTTCCATTGATATCCTCTTATGTGCTTTCCTTTTTATCATCCCTAGGGAAACAAAGAAAAGGGAGCAACAAAAGAAGAATCCCCGGTGGAACTAAAGCAAAAACATGCAAACAAGAGGGATCTTGGTAAGTTGATCAGACAGGTATCCCCAAATCGTGAGAGCATGTGTAAAAGAAGTTGCATTTTTAAGAGAAAAACGAACTTCTTTTTCCCCAAGCGGAATGACACTAAATTGAACAAAACAAAACATATTGTTTTGAAAAGGAAAATACCTCAGAAATATTTTGAAACACGCTTTCTTTGAAAATGTACTAAGCATCAAAATTCCCTAAAAGGGATAATTTGACAAAAGGCTTTGAAAAATTTCATAGAAAATGTTTAGATCAAATCGAATAGAAAGACCTTCAAATGATGAAAGGCAAGCCATTTATACACTCAAAGTTAAAATGGAGAAGTGAGTGAGAAAAACTCATCCGAAGGAAATAGGGGATATTCACAATGATTACATGGATTGAAATGATGAAAGGCAATCATTTCACTATCCCAAACACATGCTTATCCCTTGCAAACCAAATTTGAGCCAAAACAGTAGAGAAGTTTTTCCAAAACAATTCTGTTAAGAACCACCCCACATTGGGGCAAATCAGGAGGTTTGTGGATTGACAGATATGGAGAATAGGATCAAGAAAGATTTTATTGCATACTCTTGCATCAATCTTTCTGTGATAACTTCCTATGAAGTCATATGGAAGCTTAAGACATCCCAAGAGGAAGAAGAGTGCTTCATTTCCTATACCCAAACACATTACCTTTGGCAAAGCCCAATTGAGCCTGAATATTCATTTCAGAACCCCAAATTGATGATCATCTCTTCACACTGGAGCATGAGCATATGATCCACTTTAATAAATAAGAAACAAAAGAGCAGAACACAGAGTTCTTAGAATTCAAAAGATCAAAGACAAAAGAGCCTGGGCATGAAAAAGCAGTATGCCTGGTAAAAACAAGGCCAAATGCCCGAGAAAAATGAGAAAGAAAAGAGAGTTCAAAAGAAAGCTCAAAATGACAAAAAAAAAGTCATGACAGAGCAAAGTCAAGATTATGAGAGATCATAGATCACAACAAGTGAGAATGAGCAAAAGAAAAGAGATTGTGATGAATGTTTAGAGGACTCTGATGTTCATAAAGGAAAAGATCTCTAGTGAAAAAAGAAGAAAAGAAAAAGTGGTGATGCCAAGAAGATCATCAATTTCATAAAAACCCTAAATTCAAACAAATGAGCCTTTTGAGCCTACCCAATACCAACAATACAACCTCTCCCTAAAGACTCTTTAGATTGGGATGTTGAGAGTAGAAACATGACTTTATGACAAGAAGTCATCACTTAAAGAAGTGTATGCGATAATATCTTGTCTTATCCTTGAGGTTCTTAACTTGTAGACCCGAAGTCAGATATGATGAAATCCTTTTTCTTGGCCTCAGAATGCCTATCCTTTGAATAGCCATTGACCAAGCCAACATTACAACCTTTTGAAAGACCTTATCAGATCAATTGGATTGTATACATTGCGAACATCTCCGAACACCTAAAGATTGGTTAAGAGAAATAAAATTGAGGGATATCAGATAAGTTCTCCTTTTAATCAAACAAAAAAAGACCAAATTCATAGATTGAAACAAATCCTTTCTAATGAAGGTCTTCCAAACGATCATTTCAAGCATTTCTTGAAAGATTGCAAGCATTTTGTTCAAATAATTCCTTGAAAAGGAAATTTGATTGTCTAAAATGCATTAATGCAAAAAAAATGCATATTTCAAAATCAGGTTTCAAAAGTTTTTGGTCAACTTAAAACCAAGTTTTCAAACAGTTTGTGTTAAGCTAAGAAAAACCACGCTTCAAACAGTTTTGATTAATTTCAAAACTACTTTTCAAAATAGTTTTTGGTCAACTAAAAAGAAAACCATACAAAGGTTAGTGAAATCTCAAAATCACAAAACTCACGGTTAAGGCATTCATGGTTTGAAGTCTTCCCAAAGTCCTACAGGCGAGGAGCCCCTAGGCAAATTCAAAGTCCTACAGGCGAGAAGCCCTTAAGCAAATTCAAATCCTACAGGCGAGGAGCCCCTAGGCAAATTCAAAGTCCTATAGGCGAGGAGCCCCTAGGCAAATTCAAAGTTCTATAGGCGAGGAGCTCCTAGGCAAATTCAAGTCCTACTGGTGAGGAACCACTAGGCAAATCCAAAGTCCTACAGATGAGGAGCTCCTAGGCAAATTCAAGTCCTACTGGTGAGGAACCACTAGGCAAATCCAAAGTCCTACAGGCGAAGAGCTCCTAGGCAAATTCAAGTCCTACAGGCAAGGAGCCCCTAGGCAAATTCAAAGTCCTACATACGAGGAGCCCCTAGGCAAATTCAAGTCCTACTGATGAGGAACCACTAGGCAAATCCAAAGTCCTACAGGCAAAGAGCCCCTAGGCAAATTTAAGTCCTACAGGCGAGGAGCCCCTAGGCAAATTAAAGTCCTACTGGGGAGGAACCACTAGGCAAATTCCAAATCTTCAAGTGAGGAGCCTCAGGTGTTCATGGTTCGTGGATGCGTCCTTAAACCACGAAATCTGAATAACCATAATAATCATCACCACCATCAATTCATGCCCTTGGATAAGCGATAAAGAGACAGCTCACAAACAGATAAGTTTCTCTCCCTCAATCATTAAGAACTTTTTAAAATATGTTCTGAAAAGAGAACCGTTGGATTAAGTCACGAATTTCAAAAGCAAGATCCCTAATCAGTTGTTGTGAAATTTCCATCTTATCTTGTTCAGTGAGTCGTCTAAAAATTCAGATGTCACCTTATCTTTGAGATCAACCTCTATCGAGCTCAATCTCAAAGAGGGGCAGCTGTTGACACTTAATTTTTAGCTCATTTTTTTTCATATTTTCAAAAATCTCAAAATTAGGATTAGGAATCTTGGCCAAGCCTAGAAACCTATTTCTAAATCAAAAAATAATTTTTTAGCATTTTTCCTTAATTTCTTTTAATCAAAATAAGTGAGAAAATCAAGAAAAATAGTAAATGGAATCAGAAAGTTCCATAAAAATATTCATTAGTCTTATTTTAAATCCAATTTCATGAATACATCATCAATTTTAAAAAATCTCAATCGGGTATATGTTTTTCCTAGAATTTGGCAAAATTAAACCTGAATTGAACCAAAAATGTAATTAAATTTTTTCTAGTCATTTTTAAGTCATAGTGTCTTCACAACAAATGATTCTGGGATCTTGAATTACATATGGTCAATCCAATTGTACAATTTGACATAAAAATAAAAAATTCCCAAAATTCAATGGAAAATTAATAATTTTGAACCTAAATTGGGAATCGTGCCCAATATGAAATTTTCTAAACATGAGACCATCATTTCTAGGGCTAATTAGATGTGGGTAATTCAATTTTGGCATCAATTTTGCCTAATCAGGTCATTAGGACATCAAATTGAACAAAACCCTATTAACCCGAATACAAAAATGTGAAAATCTCGGACACAATTATAACAAAAATTGGGAAAAATCATATATTTGGGTTCGGAATATGATGGGGAATTCAATTTCGGGGTTTAATTTTGAAAATTGGGTCAAAATTGAGTTTAATTTGCAAATTTAGATCAACCCGGGTCTGCCGGGTGGA